AGTCCAAAATCTATAGTTAGGGTTTCTTTTTGGGACCAACCCAAAGAACAAGAACAAGAATGCAGAATTTAAATTGACACTGATAACACATCCCAATAATAAACATATCCAGACTACAAACCTATCTCAGATTGTTTTGGAACCTAGACCAGATAGTTAAAAGATCTAACTATTTTTAATAGTTTGGCCAAATGCTATGTGCAATAAATCCTTATTGGCATCAAGATTATGGAGAATACACTGAAGGTTAGAAGTCCAAAATCTATAGTTAGGGTTTCTTTTTGGGACCAACCCAAAGAACAAGAACAAGAATGCAGAATTTAAATTGACACTGATAACACATCCCAATAATAAACATATCCAGACTACAAACCTATCTCAGATTGTTTTGGAACCTAGACCAGATAGTTAAAAGATCTAACTATTTTTATGTTATCATTGCTTCTCCTCTATCTCTTGATTTTTTAACATCATGGTTGAGGAACCAAGTACTTCTCTGATTATTCTACAAGGTATAATTTCCCAATTTTTTTCCCCAAAATAAAAGGCAAAATCATTTATCTGTAATAAGTAGTCTTACTGATTTCTGAAGATATAGCCAGACTTACTCCTGAGGAACATGATGATAAAACCTGAAACTTTTGAATATGCAAAATTAGCTTCATTTTTTTTTTCTATGTAGAATTGCCAGCACAACACAGAAGGTGATCACTGTGAAAGATGTAAGGATGGTTTTGTGGGGAACTCTTCACTTGAGAGACATCTGCAATGCATAGGATGTCCCTGTCCTCTTTCAGTTCCATCTAACAAGTGAGTTTCTCCCACAGATATATTCCTCTTGGTTCTTTGGCAACATAATGTATTAGCTTCTTATTTGTGTATGGAAGAGTGTATTTATTCCAGTTTGCTAATTCCATAAGAATCTTCCCTAGTGATAAATTCCATTCCTCTTCACTGAATCCATGTATCAGGTAGTAAATGAACAAAAATCATGACCGAATCTTGGGATAATGTCTTCGCCTATATATTCTTATGTACCAAATTTAGCAGCTATCATGCCCAAGAGGAAGACAAGCTTAGGGAAGTCACAGCATTTACAGAAGTACAACATTTTTAGGAGAAAAAAAAAAAAACCTCTGACCAAGTTGAAAGAGAAATACAAATTCATTGGCCTTGACTTTTTAAAGGGGGGAAGATAAGTGAATAGAATTGTGAACGTTTTCTAAAATAAATTCTGGTGCTATTCCCATGTTTCATGTGGCTGTCCTTGGTGATTATCCAGCTGTAGCCCCTACATTTCCAAACATGTTAAAAGTGGTTTCTAGATACAGATTGTTGTCCACTTAATTGGGAATTGCAACTTGTCTGAATGGATTGTTGTAGGATGAATTAGAGATGTACTTTGTCCGTGGCAACTGATATTGGGGTGGGAGTGGGGAATTTCCCTCTCTTCATTCAGCAACCATGACTACAAGACCACAGTTGACATAGAGACATGTGTTTCAGAGCACACTGTCAAAAATGTTCTTATATCAGACACTGGGGAGAAGGCTTGTACTCTTTTTCTCCCTGACATTATAGATTGTTTTGGGTTTTAGCTTATGCGCAAGGAACGTGTGGATTTCATGGTGCATTTACAGGCGTGATTTCTTTCCCTTGCCTACCTTTGATGAGAGACCTATGAAGAACCATGCACTGTGCCTTTCCTAAAGGTTCAGATCCATTATATCACACCTTGTTGTAGGTTCATAGTTCAGTTTGTACCCCTTGAGGTTATAATTTGGTTTTGTAGGAATATCATAGGACTCCAATGTAATTATGACATGGTTTTATTTGGTGCAAACATTAATAGCTCTTTCCTCCCCCTTTCCCCGTTTTCATCTTAGCTTCGCCACTGGATGCGTCTACAAAGGCTCTACCACGCAGTGTCTCTGCAAGCCTGGTTACGCTGGAGTTTCGTGTGAACGGTAAATTGTAACTTGAATTTCGGCTCTTCCAACTTGTTTTGCCTAAGATATAATCCATGTTATGCGGGATGGGGTTTAAGGAGAGGATTGCATTTGCAGTCTTCTGCTCAATTCTTCACTGGTGGAGTTGGGCCACTAGTGGAGGACTTACACCACAGCTCCGTAAGACCTTCTTCTGTCCTCTATAGATGTGCTCCAGGTTACTATGGAAATCCTCTCGTGATTGGCAGTTCCTGCCAGCCCTGTGACTGCAGTGGCAATGCTGACCCCAACATGCTCTTCAGTGATTGTAACACATTGACAGGAGTCTGCACAGGGTGCATGTACAACACTGCAGGGCCCCAATGCGAACTTTGTGCCCCTGGGTTTTACGGCGATGCTGTGGTAGCAAAGAACTGCACCGGTAGGTCTACACCAGTCTTCTTCCTGGGTGCACTCACACCCAAAGATGTATTTAAAAAAATGAAGTGCTAGTCTCACAGATGAAGTTGAGTAGTCTTTATGTATTTATGGCATTTACACCCAAATATTTTGCCCTTTTTATTCAAGATGGCTCCCAGAACAACTTAAAAAGATAAAATCCTGTCATCAGATTCACAGTCTCAACCTGGGGCAGACAAATCTTTTCTCAGTAGGAGACACAAATTTTTCCCACTCTTCCCAGGGTTTCTAGGAGGATCACATTGGGAAAGATGGGGGTGCCATCAGTGGAGTGGGGGAGGCAGATATTTTTATATACCCCATTTTCCCATTTTTTATAAAGGAACTATTTTAAATATGTTGAACAGAAGCTTGACATATTTTGTTCTAGCTGTAATCATGGTGTGATACTTTGGCATTCTACAACGTCTGTAAAAATTGCGTTAAAGATCTATTTGGAAAATGTTAATTGCTCTGCTCTTTTAAAATGGACTTTAAAAAGAGAAAATAAATATGGAACAGGCTTTCATTTGGCAATATTTCTATTGCTGCAGCTACGGTGTAAATACATTGGTTGCATTTTTGTAGGTCATAAGAAGTAGAATTCATGAAGTATTTTTAAAGCCTTCCTCCTTTCTCTCCTTACAGAGTGCAGCTGTCTGTCCTGTGGGACAGACTCATGCGATCCTAAAACTGGCCAGTGTCGGTGTAAGCCTGGAGTGACAGGTCAGAACTGTGATCACTGTCAGGTAAAATAGACCGATATTCCCTGATCCTTAAATTTTCTCCATTGCATCTCTGAGGTGTATCTCACAGGCATCGTATTTTGTTGTGGGTCTGTGGCTGATAGGTTCTCTTAATACAGATGGTTGATTTCAGCTTTTATGTTTGTATATAACAAACAGCAAATATGCCAGGAGTCCCCACGTAATTGTGTTTTCTCTCTTGGCCAGCAAAACCAGAATGTTTAGTGGTGGGTGGGTGTGGAATGGCAGATAACTTTCACCCTTTATTTAAATAACTAGAGGGGAGATATAGCTTCGGTCATCTGAGTAGAGAAAAACCTATCTACTGACTGAATCAAAAAGATCACTCCATTTTCCTGAATAAGAAAACAGGGGTGATGGAAAGGAATCCATTCTTTATCATGGTAAAAGGAACTTCTGGCATCTCCAGCCAGTTTCCATCTTAGGGGCATTATCTAAACTAAACAACAGATTGTTCCAACAGTAACATTTCCATCTCCATCATCTCCATCATCTCTGTCTCCATCTCCATCTCCATCTCCTCCTCCTCCTCCTCCTCCTCCTCCTCCAGCTTGAGGCCCTGCTCTGGACTCTTCTCCTAGATCCTGCCTAGCAGGAAGCTGACCTAGCCTTGTTCCTGCATTGCAACAGTGCACGTGCCAATAGGGTTGCAGGCAGTGAGAATGTGGAAATAAGCAGCCTGTGCCTCCTGCTGGAGATTGTGAGTTCTCCACTCAACCTGAGTCTCTCTTATCCTTGGAGGAAGAGGAAGAATTGAATAGCTGTTTACCAAGATGACTACTAGCACCTCAGCCCCCCATGTATGTTAGCAGAGATGCTCCTCAGGCTCCTTTCCTATGGATGAAATAACATAGTGGGTGCCTCAGCAGAGCCTAGCACACCCCAGGAGCATCATCTCATACTGTGTTGGGTTCTAGCCCTATTCCTTCCCGAGTCTTACAACTTGCAATAAGCACCTGTAGTTCAGCGTCCTGAACTGAGATGGTCAAAATACCCCGTGCTAGTAGGTGGACTCCTTCTTTCATCCCACTTGCGTGGAGAGATTCTTCAGAATCAGTTACCAACTGTATTATTTGAGGGCAGAACAGCTCCTGTAAAAGTAGCCACTGCTGTGTCTGTCACAAGCTGGATGCTAACAAATTGTTTTTCCTTTTTTAGGAAGGGCATTACGGCTACGAAACATGCTTGGGCTGCCACAGATGCGACTGTGACATTGGATCTGTGAGCCCCAATTGCCATGCCCAGAATGGCCAGTGTCATTGCGGTCCAGGGGTCAGTGGTTCTCGTTGCCAACAGTGCAGCCCTGGATACTGGGGGCTCAGTGCAGACGGCTGCTCGAGTGAGTTTCTTTTGGTAATGTTTAGGGCTTGCTAATAGTAAACTCAGATTTTTTTCCCCTGAGTCCAAAACAGAGGGTACATAGGTTTTCTTTTCAATAAACGATTTGTTCTCAGTTCCCTGGATCTGCTAATTGCTATCTAAAATGTAGAGTGATTTCTCAAATATTGTTGCCTAGAGCAGGGGTCTCAAACTCAAACTGTTGCAAGTACATGAAGACTAATTCATTAGTCCTGTGGCCCAAACACCAAAGACTTTTCACACTTTGATACAAAAGCTTCTAATGCAGTGTTTCTCAACCTTGGCCACTTTAAGAAGGGTGGACTTCAGCTTCCAGGATTCCCCAGCCAGCATGGCTGGCTG